TGTATTGTTAGTTCTGTCCGGTTTTCTGTAGATGTCGTGTTTTGTTTACAATATTCTATTATTTTAGGGTTAGTTTCTCATTATTTGTGTCTCACTGTTTGGTTATATGGCTAGTGGACGAGTTATTGTTTATGATTAGATAGTTTTATTTGGTTAAACGAGGTTTTAAATTACTGAAATAACAAGAAACAAATATGGCAATTATATATATATGAATTTGAACGGAAGGTGTTTTTGGTCTCTAGGGACCTCAAAACGAAAAAGTAAATCGGTCATGGGTCCAGGTCTTACTATGAGTACTACGGTAATAGCTTATTCCCTATATGGGAAATTCGTTAAAAACTAACTATAAAACAATATATAAAGAATCTATGAAAACAATGTAAAACAATCCATACCAAAAATATATTTAACAATCTTAAAATAAAAAAAAATCATATTACTTAAAATAACCAGAATCTGCAATACTAGGACTAGACCAATTAATAATAAAAACATACATTTACTTTAGATACAACTACTTTTACCAAACAAATATTCCTTTAACTTTTTTAAATGTGTTCAAAGAGTTGGCCCTTATTACTTGATCGGGGAGAGCATTGTACAAGTACATGGTATGGCCGAAGTACGAGAAGGCTCGCCTCCCCACCTCTCATGTCTGACTCTTAGGAAAGTGCAATAACTTTTCCTGTTATTGTTGTCAGAGATGCGGACAGAGACATCTCGGCGAGAGAGAAGTTTCTCACACAGGTACTCAGGCTGGTCGTGCTCGATTAAATAGCATGGTGCTACTTAAAGAAAATTCGACAAAACTTGCTCGACGTGAGGACCAGCATTCCTATCAAACACGACATGGCTATCTCCTTGACCTACCTAGATGCCGACTAGCCTGGACTCAAAAGGGCTACCCCTACTACACAAGTAAGCTCTATAACACGCTCCCAATTGAAGTGCGCGAGCTGGACATTAGGGCCTTCAAGGACACCCTGAGAGACTATTTGGTGGGCAGACCTCTATACTCACTAAGTGAGCTGGACGACACGCCACTTTTTGGCAACCCGCCGCCATCTTAGTTAGGTTTTATGTAAATAGTAGTATTTATATTATATGAGACGCAATCTATTCCGACTTTGTCGGTCAACGATCAGTATTCAAGTAAGTAAGCTCTATAGCTTTACGTATCAGGCTGCAGGTTAGGTATATACAATTAATTATCTTTAATTTGTATAGTGTTGAAAGACAGTACGGACTCATTGGTTTAATCATGAAAATATTTATAACATCATTTCCCTTTGCTTTTGAGCTTATTTCATTTATTGCTTTTTGGACCTCTCCTCTAGTTCTGTTACGTAAGCAAATTGAAATGCTTTGATGCCGTGTATTTTATTATTCATGTAATATTCAATTAAGTTTTGTTCCGGGCTTAAGTTAGAGTTTAGAAAGATGGCTACAAAAAACTTTTTCGCCGTAAAAAAAGCGTTACAAAAAGTTCGTAATATAAATAGGTAGCTTACAGCGATTAAAAATCATTTAGGCATAATGATAATGTCTACAGAATGTGATTTAGCCCTAAAAATGAACTTTGATGATGCTATTGACATGTGGGGAAAACATTTAAGGTGTTTACTGCTAAGGGTTAAAAAATAGGGGTTAGTAAAAGTTAAACTATATTGTACATAAATTGAGGTTTTTTTTACTTTTTACTTGACTTCGCGGTGGAAGCTGTTGGAGATTTTATTCCCCAAGAGTGGTCAAGGACGCGATATCTGGGAGGTACGGATCAGTCGAACATGCCTACAGCATCAATCATTTCTTTCGCCAGGTCGTGCTTCTTGTTACGCTAGATGCCAAGAATGCCTTTAACTCGGCGACTCGGCGAGATGGGTCGATATGTTGAATGCCTTGAGAAACGCCATTTCATCAAAAAGTATTAAAGTACTAAACAGCTTTTGCGTACCAGCATATATGTTGAGGCTCATCGAGGACTACCTGCGCTGTAGAACACCTTTACAAAAAGAAAGATGGTTCCAGACGGATAGCGCTGGGTTCACAACGATATGGTAGGCATACGGTTAAGTATCGATCGACTTAGTCTGAAAAGAACTACTATCGAATATCGTAAATCGATTGGCTTCCAAAGCGCCACCCAACCAAAATTCCATAGCGCTAAATAGTTTATTTAATTATGTTATTTAATTTATTCCAACTTTGTTCCTTTTGATCAGTTTCATGGTGCATGGTGCATTATTATGGAGGAAATATGCAAAGGACATCTAAACGCTTTTAAAAGTAAGGGGGCGGTAATTTATCTGGCGTTAATTGCGTAAGTTACTGGAATATTAATTTTAAAACTAGATAACCCGTGCGGCTCAATGAGCCGCATAGTATGAAACATAACGCCGAGGAAAACTTTATGCTTAAATTCGAGTAATTGTAGCTACATCTTAGAGTTGTTTAAACACTTGTTAGAAACTAATTTTAAATATCTCTGTTTGCGTCGTCAAGGTTCACCTACATTATTTCTGCTCTCAGTTTTAATTGATAACTTCTAATGAATGCTAAACAATCTGCTTCAATTCGAGTTAACATGTTGCAAAAAAGTTTTTCCAGCATTGAGAATTAAAGAAAACTGTTGCCTTAGGCCTACTGATAACCAGTGTTTAGTAATTTAATTTGGGTCATTTTATTTCTTTTGAGACATCCCCCTAATCAAACAAATTTTCTTCGTGGAGAACCCTGAAAAGTTAGGTGATATCAACTATTTCATGTGGTCCATTTTTTGCCAACTTAACTGTCATAATCGGCTTTGAATTAGCTAAAGCAGCAACACCATTGAAAGTTGGTTAACATATTTCAACGTGTTGTTTGTCAGTCTCACGTTTTTCAGTGGAGTTTCTCTAAATACCTGTCCCAAGTTGGGACACCATACTTGGTTGGGAATCCATACTTTCAAAACGTTGGGACTCCCAACGTTTTGAAAGTATGGATTCATTTGTCGAAATAGGTTGGATAACTCTTGTAGCTATATATGATTTGGATAGCAATTCTCTTTTTGAACAGCGTAATATATTATTTGCCTTTCCTAAATCATAAAAATAAACTTGACCGTAACAACTTGATCGTTGAATACATAAACACTAATTCCTTCACTTATGTTTGGTCTAATATTGCCTCTAAAACTTTCAATAGCAAATGAGTTGTTGTAGCAAACTTCTTATTTTTGACTTGAAATGTCTGGGTTGTGTTGGTAAATTCAGTTAGTAGACCTTGTATAAGTTTTCCCGAGGAACTGGAAACATAACCTAGAAGTTAACAATCCATTTGTGTTTTTTCTCAATTGAAGTAGAGCGAGTAATACAAAAGTTTACAATAAAAATATAAGGTCCGCCAAGATTTGGTATAATCTTACTACTTGAACTATAGTCAAGGCATTAAATATAGTTTATACTAAATGTTTTGAAATATCTTGCTTTGTCATTGTCAGAAGTAAACATTTCTTGCATGCATTCATTTGATCTGACATTAGGCAAGTTTATTTTACCACCGTGACAACACTATGTGCTTCGTACATTTTTTCACTTCCAAAGTGAGTTGCTGAGCAGAACCATCGATGTATAGCAGAACTGGCAAATATTAGGTATACATATCACCAAGTGAATGTGTATCTGGATGGGTGTCTATTAGACCAGGCCTCTCTATTTCTACTCTCCTCATACGCATAAGATATCTTATTATTAATTGTCTCCTACTCACGTTTTCAATATTTCTTCTTTGAACTTGAGGCATTTTCTGTTCTTCCTACAAAACTGATTACCGGTTTAACTTGGTCTTAACCTACTGAATATTACAAACATTAATATTTACTCCCAAAAAGCTAATGAGTTTCTTTTTATAAACAGCTGTTTTTGGTTTTTAAATTTCTCCTATGTATTTCTTATGGGGAAAACCCGACCTTTGAGAGGGTCTCACGCCCTTCAGAGTAGGAATTTTAAAATTCTAAAACCTTATTGCAAAACTTCATATTGAGACGAATCTTTTGACACCTTAAACGTTGAAATTGGTCCACAAATAAGGGAGGAGTTGCGTTAACAAAATACGGCTTCACGTATTATATATATAGATTCCTCCGTAATTTAAGTTCTTATACATATGCTGGTTATCAGCCTTACTGTAATTGGATAATAAACATTTTCATTGGAAAATTTTATGCCAGGTTCAGATAATATTATGTTGTACTTATTTATTTGCATTCACTCTCACTGTAATATTGTACGTGAATTAAATTATGGCCCTCCGTCGTCAAGGCCACATTATGACGTTCGACGACAGACATAGGAGTTAGGAGCAGCTGCAGCGCAGCAGAAGGCACAAAGCGCACCAAGGCAATAGTTTACTTCCACCATGAGACAGCCGGTGAGCCAGAGCCAGAGCCGATACTAATAGTCGATGTCTGTCATCCAGTAGAAAACAAGCTCGATATTTAACCGAATGCCTACCATATCGTTGTGAACCCAGCGCTATCCGTTTCAGACGGATCAGTTTTGTTCCGCACGAGTACAAACGCTGCCTACGAGTAAGTAAATGCAGCAGTGTAGCAACTTTCTGTACTATAATCAGTGCAAGGAAGGCCGCTTTGCCAGGTGACTGTAGGAAATTTCGTACAATTTTGAAACGACAGATGATAACGGTAGCCCACCTTTTGTTACTTATTTATTTATTTAAATAAAGGAGGTCCCAGAGGTTGCAGAAAGTAATATTAGACCTACATCATCTGCAAAATTCTTCAGTTAGTTTAGTTATTTGGAGTTAAGCACTACAGGCGAACCGTTCCTGTTTCAAATAGATTGTGAAAGAAACTAGTTGCAGTTACTAGTGCGATTTTATGAAAGCGCTGCAGGCTGCAGCCGCTACAACGACAGTTACTAGCGCATGCGCAGGAGGACTGCATTTTCCCATTCTGTAATGAAATTGAATTGAAGGGACTCTGGCAACGAGAGGGAGGGGAAGGTCGTCTCCGTTTTACCGTCGCGTAGAGTCTTGTCTCTTGTCTTGTTTTTGTTCTGTTCAGCTTGTTGGCGACGTTGGCGTTGCTTGTTCTTGTTGTTCTCGTTTCGTTTCGTTCTCGCTGTTTGTTGAAGTGAACGTCCGGTCCCTTGCTCGCTCCGTTTTATCGTTCTATCTAGGTTAAAGGTTAAGGCCGGTTGATCGTTATCAAGATCCGATTGTTATCGCTTTCTAATTTAAACTGAGCGTAATAAATTGTGTTATGAGTGAACCAGAATCAAAGAAACTGAAAATGTCGAGCCTAACGCAGCTAAAAAACTTTACCACCGTTGTTGCTGATACTGGTGATTTTGAAGGTTAGTGTTTTACTTAGTGACTTTATGTTATGATAAGTTAAGTTGTTCAAATTTTAAATCCGGTGTGCAGAAATCGAATGGACAAATTCATATTCCAATGTTGTATTGAAATTGAATTACCGGTACCAAAAACTTATGGCTGTGGTTGGAATAATAGGCTAACAGTAAAGCCTTATTAGGCCTACCCCTAATTAGTAGAAAGTTAACCTAGTTTTATGACAGGTTGAGTAATATTTGTTAGTGTTGCAACCGAAATAAATTCTCGATGATGCTTAGGGCCTTATAAGTCCTAGCAATGATTAACCAACACAAGCAGACTTTCTCTAGGGATCCTATTGCGATATTATCAATCATCATTTTTTGAACTAAGGTAATTCAGCAGCAGTAGCTCCAAGAATAACTTAAAGCATTGATGTTCATGGTTCATAACTAAGCAAAGATTGATGAGCCTTATAAGTAAAAAATAAATAAAATATCAGATGTGAGAAAGGCTATAGCGTAAGTTTACGTTGAAAAATACCGAATCTGTAGGATGGGATGAAATCCCCTTGATTTTATAAAATATGTGATTGATTTGGTCAGGGCCTGATTAAGGCTCTAGTCGCCAGTAGGCTGACGTTTTTTCGCGCCCCCCCCCTCCTCCCTACCACTAGCCCTCCTCTCTGCCACCACTTTCAAAATTCCAAAGTATGAATACTAATTCTGAATTCAAAAATTAAAAATTACCAAAGGCATTATACTACTATTCAGTTCATTTAAAAACAAAAGAAATTAATGCATGGTTTGATTAAGAACTTTTAAAACTGCAAATCTTTTGACTTTGAGATAATATTTTAAATTCAAGAGCTAAACAATATGACATAGTCATAGGCACTATTAATTCTGGATGAGTATAGATACAGAAGGTAAAGACATTGTTTAAACTAAGTTCCATAGTACAGACAACCTGCAATTTTTCGCCTTATGCTCAATGTTAAACAAATGCCATGACTAAAAACAAAAAATTAAATCGGTCCCGGGTCCAGGTCTTACCATGAGTAAGTTAGGCCTACTACGGTAATAGCTTATTCCCTATATGGGAAATTTGCTAAAAGATTTTTTAATTACATAAAAAGTAATACAGTTTGAATTATTGGCAAAGTTCTCCCTAGAACCCCTGGAGAAAAACTGTTAGGCCTACAAAATTTTCAAGTTCTAACTTTCTACAATCACTATATTTTGGAAATAGCATGCTGGGTCCATAGAAACCTCTCCACTTTTGAGTCGACCCAAATTAAACATAATTACAATACCAGAAAAAAAGAATATTATCAAACCTGTAGCTCATAATTAACAAATATTCCAGTTATCACCGCAATACAATGGTCAAAAGTCTTAAACTTACCAAGAAGTTTAATTACTCTAGAATATCCTTCTAAGTTTAGAATTTCTTTAAAAAAATGGCTCAAGACTAAATTTTTTTCATTGGCAGATTATTTAGAGAACTGCTGGAATTAGGTATAAATAAACCTTCCCACTCCTTCTAGCTCAATTTTTGTCATGTAACAATGTTATATTTTGGGAAGATTCTGTTGTTTTTGTGTAAATACAGATGTATTAGTTTTATCTATTAGTTTTAAGTCTTTATTTAACCATTGACAATATGTCCTGTTACTATGATGTACTGACATGTAATTCAATAAATAAGTAAATAAAATATTGTAGCGATAAGTTATTGGGGTTTCGATACTATCGTGACATCGGAAGAGTTTTATCGATATATTGGTTTTCGATATTGAGTTTTCTAATTTTATGTTAAGATTTAATGATATTGACATACCTTGTCATCAAGTTTAGTTATGTACAAGATAAAATCCCCACTAATATGGGACTAGCTGGTTAAATATTTTTTGTGGTAGAAGAAACCATGAGTACTAGAAAAGACCAGGTATGGATCATAAACATAAACAAATTAAGTTTTTGGCCCAAAAGTAAACCAAACCATATGTTAATTAATGCTATTAGTATGGGTGTTTTGTTTACTTTCCAAGCCAAAAACGTCATTTGTTTATGTTTATGATCCATACAGGTATTTTTCTAGTATTCGTGGAAGAAACTAAGTTGGTAGCAACTGATTTTTATAGCTGGAGTGTTGGTATGCCCTCCACTTGTGTGTGGTGTTATCACTTGTCAGTTCTCAGAGCTCAAGCAAGAGCCGTGCCGTGCCGTAGTCTTTCTCTTTCTCTTCGTTATAGCCTACACTACAGTCCATCAGTGCTAACATTGTTCAATTGATTGTTAATACAAATGATTTTCATCACGATTAACATTTTTGTTAATAGCCTATTCAAACTTATGTGTTAAGCTCCTAACTACTATATGCAGCACTTAATATTTTTTAAACAGATTCAGATCCTTTATTGATCAATAACACAAACAGTGCAATAGATCTTGTCATGCAACACGCAAAACATGCGTGCAAACATGCGTTTCATTGCTGTTATTCAATGAAAAACAGTAGGTCTAGTATAAATTTTTAAGATTTGCAAATGCAGATTACTGTAAGAAGGAAAGTAGAAACAAGCCTATGCAGACATAAGAAGTACTAACAATCAACAGTGTACTTACTTAAGTGTTAACTAACCTATGTGCCAAGAAGATTTCCTGACGGAAGGCCTAATAAAAAATCCTAAACAAGCTCAAGCATCGTTCATTCCATTCCAAAGTCTTTAAAAGTAGAATGGACCATTGTTATGGTCCATTGTTACATAGCTGTAATAATATACCATATTGTTGATTGGGGTTCATCTGCAAGGAGTCTGATTGGAGGAAATGAAATACGGCAGAATCAAACTAAATACAGCAGAGTCGCTTTTCATGGCGATAGAAGATGAGCCCCTTTCACGACCATCGGTGGATGTCAGTATGGTGTAGGCTATATAACGTTGTTAAAGACAAACTAAAGCAACTACGAGATAAGGCCAGGAGCGTGAATGGCTTATCAACAATGGACAATGCACCTACCCCCGCCTAAGCTCAGCTGATCCGGCAGTTTTTTTGAGTTCCGCGAAACGTGAGACTTTTGATGCCATGTTGTGTGTATGTGTGTGCTTATATATGTTTTGACGAGTCCTGGACATCACTGACAAAAATAAAGGTGGGTATACCTCTTCAAAAGTATGTGAAATTCTCTCCTAGTTTTAATTTTTTCTACTAAGTGTGATTATTTTTCATGTTTCAGCTATGAAAAAATACAAACCAACAGATGCTACAACAAATCCCTCGCTGATTTTAGCAGCAGCATCTCTACCTCAATACAAACATCTAGTGGAAAAGGCAGTAGAATTTGGCAGGAAAAATGGAAAGTAAGTTGAGACTTTAAATTGCTTATTTGCATCCAAAATGAGCAGTACATCGCAACCTCATGTCACATTGCATGTTTTAAAATCGGTACGCTTGTAATCCAGAAGGTCAGTAAATTTGAAACCAACGTCGCGATCAATCGTGCAAGAGAAGAGTTTAATTCTATCCTATCTTCAGTTATGACCTTTGGCCAGCTGCTTCGGTTCTTTTGCTTGGTTTATGATTTGCTTTGTGACAAGTAACTCCCGAATTCAACAGTTTCGGGGTCTTATCTAGTTTTCCCTTTTATTTTTAGTGCATATTCTATCTTATCTTGCACTCTTACATATTTCACAATATCAAGATGTGTATGAGAATTTTCTCTGAGGTCATTGTCCTAAATTCACTACTCTGTTCATGTTTTATTGACAATTCCTGCTATTCCGCATTATTCATATTTTCTTTTAATCTTGTCTGATGTGTTGCGTTGCAATTGAGTGAATGTATCCATTTAAGGTAACTTACAGGTAATTTTTGTATCCCAAAATAAGACATAATTTTCTACTTGACCCAAGAGTCTAATTTCAAAATTAACCATCTGTGTAAATAGGGTTCAGCTTCCCGCCAGGTAACCAGTCATGCTACAAGCAACCAGCAAATATGCGACCTGCCCTGCTCCACTGTGTTTTTACCCTAAGAAGCAATTGTCAGTCCAAGCGTTGTCTTATCTATGAGCTATTGATCGATACAGTATTTCTTTGTTATGCTTCCATTCTATTTTCACCAAATGAACTGTGATGTATAAAAAATAATATGTGGTAGTCTACTGCATTTCAATAGTGGACCAAAACCGTGGAATATACACACTAAGAACACACTACACATTTAACACACTAAGAAAAACAATTTTAAAAAATTGTTCGGTTATTTTAGTTTGTAAAATATATTTTTACATTAGTGCAAACTATTTACAAAAATATCTAGAACTTGTTCGGATGTTACAATTAACACTGACTTGAACTTCAAGAGAAAGACGCACTTACATACAGGGTGAATTTAAATGAGTTCCCCCCCTACTTTTTTCTACATTTCTTAAGATATCATCTCCGGACCACGTCAGATCATTGTTGAGTAGTAAGTACTTCATTTTGACTGGGTATACATTTTTGGCCGCCATCTTGGATCCGCCATATTGGATACAAAGTTTTTTTTCAAATGTAAAGGTAGGGTTGTGACCCATTATTTCCAACTAGAATTGTACGCTGATTACAATGCCGCAATTAGTTTTTAAAAATCTTGATCCGTTCTTAAGTTATGAGGAATTTTTATAACTTTATTTTTAGCGCATTTTAACATTGTGCATTTACAAACTAAGACTATAATCTAAAAATAGTGCTAGATAAAGATAAGTATACACCACCATTCATTGTCGACTTATTTTCACTTGGTTATGACAGATGTAGTTTTTTGAGCCGCCATCTTGAATCCACCATTTTGAAATGTGATCAATTAATTTAAATATGAAGGTGGTGTTGTGACCCATCATTTTGATCTAATTTTTTATGCTGAACTCAATGCCGCAATCCGTTTTTCATTTGCATCTTTGGACTTTGAAATATTGAAATTTTAAATAAGAGTATTTTAATATTTCATCAAGAAAGCTTGATAACCAAAAACGGATTGCGGCATTGAGTCCAGTATAAAAAAGTAGTTCAAAATGATGGGTCACAACACCACCTTCATATTTAAATTAATTGATCACATTTAAAAATGGCAGATCCAAGATGGCGGCTGAAAAAACTTCATCCGTCATAACCAAGTGAAAATATGTCGACAATGAATGGTGGTGTATACTTATCTTTATCTAGCACTATTTTGAGATTATGGTTTTAGTTTGTTAATGCACAATGTTAAAATGGGCTAAAAATAAAGTTATAAAAATTCCTCATAACTTTAGAACTGATCAAGATTTTTAAAAACTAATTGCGGCATTGTAATCAGCGTAAAATTTTAGTTTGAAATAATGGGTCACAACCCTACCTTTACATTTGAAAAAAAAACTTTGTATCCAATATGGCGGATCCAAGATGGCGGCCAAAAATGTATACCCAGTCAAAATGAAGTACTTACTACTCAACAATGATCTGACGTGGTCCGGAGATGATATCTTAAGAAATGTAGAAAAAAGTAGGGGGGGAACTCATTTAAAATTCACCCTGTATAAATATACAAGGCATGGTTGCATTTTGGTGAATTACCCATATATGGAATAAGCTATTACTGTAGGTCTCATGGTGATGATTTGACTAGGCTATGGGAATGGGGACCATTAATGGGGTTTCCCATATTTTTACTATATTGTATCCCTAAAAAATTAGTATAATGAGGCGTTGTTGTATGCCTAAAGCTTAGTTAAAAACAATAAAAAAAAGTTTAAATTAAATATTCCTATGCTGTTTATTTATGGATATAGAAACTGTATTATTTATTTATAATACAGTTTCTATTAAACTGTTTCTATTAAACTATCTCAGTTTCTATTAAACTGGATATAGAAACTGTATATTATTTATTGCATTATCCATGTATTGCTTAAAGGAATAAATATATACTAGTGTACATGTTGCTCGAATTCGAGCAATTTCAAAGTATTACAGGAGTCATTTAAAAACGAATAACAGTCATATTTATAATGATTAAAAGAGTCAACTCAAAGATTACCGGTATGTAACTCACACCATGTTTACCTTTGTTATTGATAAACCATTCCGACCAGTTTTATTCTTCTCAAAATGCCTTGCTGTACAGGCAACACAGGTCATTGATAGAGGGTCAATTATTGAGAACGAAAAGTCGTTTTGGGGTATAGCGTTAGGGCGCATTATTTTGTAACCTATGCGCCACTGTTCTGTAGCTGCGGTCGTTATCACGATTACGCCTCCTGTCTATGTTTCGTTGTCGTCACGTCGGAGGCACTTAAAAGAAAAAGCAACAAATAAACAAATTATAGCTACACAAAACAACGATAAATACACAAATTTAAGATACGACCATACTAACACGATCCGTCTTGGGGGTTATGTTTACACAAACTCGTAGTAAATAAATGTACTCAATGCGTTTCATTGAATTGAATATTTGTCAATATAGGTATTATTTTAGGCAAGGTTTCTGTGTTTGGATGTTATTAGAAACGGTAAGAGTACAATCAAATACTGCAGATGAACTTTCTGTTGGAGAAATATAAGCCGAATTATAAATGTCACAATGCGAGTTTGATCATTTTGTAACTATATTATATGGGTAAAATACATAGATTTTTTAGACTGCTGCTCAGTGCACTTTAAGAATATATATTTTAGAGATAAATTAAATGGGTTTTGTTGCATAGTAGTGCTAGTAAACATGCACAACCCTTTTCGTTTGTCTAATGACATTCAAAGGCTCTCTAAAAGTTTAGGTTCTTATTTGTTTACATATCTATATTATTTTTTCACTAAGCTGAATGAATACATGGAAGTAACCTCTCTTAAAAGTCTGCAGTATATTGCAGTTTTCCAGCTTAATAAATTTCTAAATCATGCACATATTTCTACATAAATATTGTAAAACGTGTTGTCCAGTTGCTGTAAACCACTATTAATTTAACAAAATATTGACACGGCTCAAATGGGCACCGTGCCCTTCTGCACTTATATTATTTTGTATTGTATTACACCATTGAAGATCTTTCCAATGATTGAAAGCCTGTATGACAATAATCTCACGAACCTATGATCATCTGTCTTGAATGATATAGGCAAAAGTGGTAAAAAATGCAGACACAACCCGTTCAATAGATATAAGATAATTCAATAAGGAATAATCTCAAAAGTTACTGTTATAATAAGATTTTCCAACAGAAGAAAATCAATTTTAAAATCAGAAAATAACATTGCAAATACTTCTTTTGGACTATTTAGTAACTCCCAATAGATGTGTGTTGTTTAAAATACAATTATAAAATTAACAGCTGTTTCATTAAAAAGTATTATCCACATGGCCAAAATGTAAACAAATCTGTGGAGGGATCTTAAAAGGCTTCTGGGGCAGAGCCCTAAGCGAATTTACTTCGTTTTTCTTTTGATAACTCATCTACAGACCAAGACCTTTCTTTGGACACCTCTACCAAATTTCTACGCCCAGCCGTTCTCTCAAATTAGTGGAGACAAAGTTTCCAATTAAATATTTAGATTCCCCCATGTTAATCTTATGGGAGAAAATCCAACTTTGATGGAAGATCCTGCCCAAACTAATAAAGATATCAAAAAACTAAAAACACTTTGCAAAACTACAAATCAGGCTAATTTTTTTGACACTTTAATCATCAAAATCGGTCCAAAAATGAGGGAGGAGTTCTGTTCACAAAAATCGGCTTAGCGTATTATATATATAGATTGTCTATATTTTAATTTAATTTGTCAATTGTATGAAGCTATCAACATTTTAAAAAACAGCTATAATCTAGCAGCAAACCTAAGTAGCCTACTCAATAAAAATAGTTTTATTTATATAAGAAATAAATCTGACAATTTGAAGGGATAATTTGAGTGGAAATCTTGCCAGGTAAAATAAAGTCATAGCCTATACTTTGTAACCTATTTTAGAGTTTCATTACTAAGAAAACGTTTTCTTTTTGTATGCAAGTAAAATCCTAGTTAGGATTTAACATTCAAGTGATGCGAGTTAAAATTAGACTTATGACTTGACCTTAACATTGGTTTATCATTATCTATAGTACCTTGCTCCTCTTTATCTCCCTTGAACTCTTGAAAACTTCAATAATCATAATGTCTACATAATTTTCATAATTTTCTTGTACATTCTTAATTATTAAATCTGACAAAAATTATCATCAGTAAAAAAAACTATACTAGGGGGTTAATATTGTGTTTTTAATAGTAAAATGAATCTTTTAAATGTACTGTAATTAGAAAGTTTTAAAATAACAGTCATATCAAATTTGTGGATATAATATAATTTA